GAACGTACCATTAAAACGTTAAATTTATTGAAACGTTTTTCCGTTACGAATATAGCTGCTGTCACGAAATAGGAAAAAAGTTTTAATTAAAAGCTGACTGCACAGATTAAATGACAAATTAGAAAGTAAGCTGGAAAAATCTGTAAATATTATTGATTTTTTATTCTTAGATTGTTATATTATGTATATTGCTTAGATATTAAAAACATTATTAAAGTTAAACCATTATTAATTGAAACTTCATAAAAAAGGCGGCTCAGTTGATCTCTTCGAAGTCACGTGGGAATCCATAGGCGTCTAAATATTATTATCATGACAGATGAAAACAAATTGGTTAATAAAGAATAAACATACTCCAGATATTTCTATAAAAACTGAAATGACGAACGCCATTGCCCGGAAATTCTAGCTGATTTACTTCTAAAATACAGTGGAGTTAATACAATAAATAAATGGGCAAAATTCATATAGTAGGTAATCCTTAAAATTCCGTTTTAAACTATTGAAATAAATCAAATATAAATATTTGAATGGGAATATTATTCCTTTATTAAAAATTCAATTTGAAATTGATTTTTAATCAATTATCTGTGTAATTTTATACTTTTGTCCACTTCTAAAGAGAATATCTCACACTGTCAACAAGAGCGGCTCACCTTTGTCGGAAAGCGATAAAGCCTAGCAGCATCGCCGACAATTTTCAAGTTTTTTTGCCGACGTGCGGTGTGTTTGTTATAGTGTACCAGGATTAGGCATAAAAATATAAAAATTATTTTATATTATTATAAGGGGTATTTTTCTAATTTTGAGTAGTCACCATAGAGATGCGATTTTCAATTGATAATGGTAATACTTTACCAATAGTGCAAACCCACAATTAGTATCATAAAGCATCCCGGCCTCGATCCCAGCTTTAAATTTTATTACATGTACATTTTTTAAAAAGTCATAACATGACTAAATAATGCAGCTTTGAGGGAGCTTTTACGTATTCAAAAAGGGCCTTCTCTTTCATTTGTTTTAATGACAATTTTATCTCGTATAACTGTGTCACAAACAAAAAAACAGGCGCTTTGTGTGCTTATTTTTATGAGCTCTCTCAAAATCTGCTTTTTATGATCACGTTTTTAAAAATTTAGGTTTTGATATAGGCACAGTCAAATTGAGATTCTGTGGTGGTTGAATAGTTTCGATCAGTTTCGGTTTCTGACACACAACAAATACAAAAGTTACCGCATCGCATAAATTCGAAAACCAAAACAAACAATTTCTGGATAACATTACGGTTTATGTGGGGTATCCGTTACAAGAGCGGTTTGTTCACGTTTATATATTCCGAACATTATGTTGCCTTGTATTGACTTATTTGTTTACTGGTCAGTGTCTAATGGATTAAATGGTTCAAAGTCGGACAGAAACCTCTAAGTTGGGCAGATTTTGGTCTCGGGAATGTTTATTAGAGTATTAAGAGCTTGATTCGAGACTTGAAAGGGTTGTTACAATCTACAAACTTACAGCTTGATGAACTTTCCTTGCACTTTTCTTTTAGTGTTATTGCAAAAATATGGAATGTTATCAATCATAGATAGGTAGGTACGATTCTAATTTTAGTGGGTTTAGGTTTATAAAGGATTAGTATGTGAGCTGCACCCTTTGGTAATAGGTGAATTTTCAAGAGTCTGCTGCTGGTTGCAGCATATTTTTCCTACCATTATTATACATTTTGCTGTTGCTGGTTTCTGAGTTTTCCTGTGACAGGTAGGTAGTTTATTGCTGATCCGAGAATCATATTATCCGCTAACGATTTATTCCTTAGTCACTATTTTCGTTTTTCAGTGTGTGGAATTAAATTATCGTTTTTTTTTTTCCAAGAATTTTTGATTGCAAAATAAGATGGCAGAATGACGACCTATTATTGCCTTTAAATAAAAATATGAGTGTTTGCCTCCAATAGCTCCATTTCTCTCGGACCTCTCTTTTTAATGTTGGCTGCAAACAAACATTGTTTGAGAATATGGCCAGGGCCGGTCCATTACTGAAATGTCATTGGGTCATACACAGCCCACCCGCACTGACACATCTAAAATCTGTTTTTTTTTTTAAGATAAAAGTCAAAATGACATTATGTTGGCAATACAATGTAAAATTGTCAATGCTTTCAAATTTTGTATGTAGAAAAGGCTCGTGTTGCCAACATAGTTACTAAATTTTTGACTTGGGGAATTATCTTTAAAAAAAAAAACAGACTTTATGTAGAGTCGTGAGCACAAAAAGTGGGACACCCGTTTTTTCCTATTGCAGAACGGGCTCACCAGCTATACCTACGGCAATGACAGGGATTGTCATATTTGACAAAAAAACCATTGTAGACCATTGTCCCACTTTTTGTGCTCATGACTGCCAAACCCACGATCTGGAGCTGGTGGGTGTGACTCCAACCCGCACCACATCAACTAGGGAAGTCAGGATATAAATCCAAGATTTAAGTCTCTGTATGTTTTTATATTAGGTAATGATCTGTTCATATGCAATAACGGCACAATACCAACTTTCTTAAACTCTCGTAGTCGAACTGTAATAGATATAACACTATGATCAGTATTAATCCATAATTGGCGCGTATCTGATGAAGTTTCTATGTCAGATCACCGATGGATAACTTTCACATTAAACTGCTCGCCTGAAGCCACAAGACCTTTTCGTGACCCAAGGAAAACCAATATTGGACAGTACGTGCAAGGTGTAATGGGTTTCTACTATGTATAACCCTTTGAATATTAGGTAACCCGCAGGGTCGTTCATCCGAGGACTTAATAAAAGACATGTTGTTGCTTAGAAGTTCTCTATTAGATTCGTTGTCAAAATATGTGTTGCATTACCAATTGGGTCAATGTAACCTGCTTATTCAGCACATTATTTTTATATTGGTTTAGCAATTACAGTAAGTAGTAGTATAGGTATAGGACGCGGGATACTGAAACACTACTCTCTTCTCAATTACCCCTAGGCTCCAAGGGGCACTAGATGCCACCCTCACCAACCCTTCCCTCACCTGTACCTAATAACAGGTACCTTATTTTAAATGTTAATTTTTTTAACCTGTCTTTTTTTTTCACCTGTCAGTGTAACCTAAAATTTGTCACAATGACTCACCTGTGTGATTCAAGGAAAGCGAAATAGCTATTTATACAATAAGTTACGAAATGAGCGTCTTTTAGGCACGCGACGTGAAAATTGTCCAACGAGGCAAAGCCGAGTTGGACAACACGTCGAGTGACTAAAAGACATCGTTTCGTAACATATTGTATACAAGATTTTTTCTACTGGCATTTTATAATAAAAAAACACAATTTTATTTCATGTGAATAAGTCGATTACGCCCAAAATATTTGTTACCTGCTTTTGCTTAGCACCTGACAGTTTTCATGCGATTTTTTTTTCAAGATTCGATATCAGTAATTTAAATCCCAGAAAGTAGGTAACAACACAAAGTTCTGTTTTGAGTAAACCAAACGTTCAATTCAGTAATTCCATTTTCAATATTCATAATAAATACAAAACAAAATTCAAATATGTGTTTAGTGTGTTTTTTATTTCTGAATAATGAATGACACTTTTAGGCACTAGTGCTTAAAAATTACTTTTACGCACTCAAAAGTCACTTTTACGCATTCAAAAGTCACTTTTACGCACTGAGTGCCTAAAAGTAACTTTCACGCACTCAGTGCTTAAAAGAATGTCGTTTCAAAACTAAAATGACAATCGAAAAGTTGCTTTTATGAAACGTCAGTAGAAAAGTAATGTTTTGATGAATGCTGGTTGGGATGCCAAATCAAATCCAGCTCTTTTGGATGGAAACGGAAATTTCAATGCATGTATACCTCTGAAAATTCTAATGGGATTTTTTGAGGATCATCATAAGATTATTTTGAATGTGTGACAGGAAGTTGTATTGATAAGAAGTAATTCTGACGTCAATGCTCACATTGAACAACAATATATACAAGAAACACACAAAGTGACGCTTAGTAAAATTTTATGGAAAATGCCACATGTTAGAGTGTCTGATGATCGAAAATTACGTCTTTATAAGTATTTTGAGAAAAGTTTGGCCCTTAATATTGTATTTAGGAGCTGGGAATTGCACGAATATCCACAACTACAAAGTACAACAAATCATACATGGGCTGTCCACCAATCAGTTGGAAAAACCTCGTTTTATCATTATTGGATTTCAAACAAATAGAAAAAATGTGGCATCGAGAAACATCAGCAGATTTGATCACATAACGTTAACAAATATAACCCTCCATACACACACATACTTTTTGAAAACACCCAACACACACTGGTGTGTGCCCCAAGCATTTATTGCTGGTTCTTAACACACACACAAAATATACACGTTTTAGGATATTAATAGATGTTTATTTTTTCAAAAAGCAAAACCCACACTTGAAAAATTAATATTTTAGTACTAAAAGACAAATAAATATTCTGTTACATCGTACCTATACAAAAAATTCAATAAAAATGTTTTAAGTAGTGGAAAAATAACTTTCTATCAACGAAAACGAATATTCTTGAATAAAGTCTAATAAATTCTCTTATCAAAAAATAAAAATAAAATACTAACACAGAAAAATTGGTATCAAATTATTCGATACATACAAAAAGTATATTCACAAATAAGCTACTCGCAACATACACTGGGGTATTAGACCCCGCGACCTACTAACACGCTTGTCAGTCGTAAACTAATAAATGCTTGATTCTGCCATTTGGGGTTTAGGTAGTGAGGGGCATAAACTAAATTTACATGGAGTCTTGAAACCATCGCTAAAAGTTCCGTAATTTTCCATGCTTTCAAACTTTTATTGAGGTCCGGTAGACCCCAGTGTGTGTACAGAGGGTTAAAAGTGTATTTAAACTCAGAAGTGTATGCCTACAATAACCTCAACCTGGACTTTGACTCCAATCATTTTGCCATCTTATATGAAATGTATGCGCAATTCCAAAAATCCTACTATTATCGTGAGCAAAGTGAACCATGCTTTTATCCTATAGATTTCAAACAAGATGCTCCTCTGGTAGTTATTGATTGTTCTCGGCAAGGTGAAGACATCCTAAAAGGTGGTGCTGTTGATATTCGTGTAGAATTTGAAACAAAAAAAGCGGTTCAAGCAAATACCACAGCTCACTGCTTGATTCTCCACGATCGACTTGTAAAATACAATCCATTGACCAGCACAGTGCGTGTTATTTAGAAGAGGATAAAGAAAAAAGAAAAATGTTCATCTTAGACGTACAAGGTTTCCAGTACAAAGACAGTGATTTCATTTGCAAGAAAATTGCAATCTTAAATCAGGCAACTGGTCAGCTATACCATCATTTCATAAATTTACCAATCCCAAGTAAATGGCTCAGTGAAGACTTCAGTCGTTAAGTTCAGTGGAACACCCAAAACCTGCACGGACTGGATTGAGACAGTTTTAATTTTAGTTTTCTACCTTTGGAGAATATCGCAAATTTCATACAAGAAATTGTTCAAAATAACACTGTTTTTGTCAAAGGTTTCAACAAAAAAGTGTGGCTCTGTAATTTGATAAATAATCATATAGTCGATATGGATAGCTTGGGATGTCCAAATTTCAAAAAGTGAAAAACTGTGTTGTTTTTAAATTCACTACATTGTAATACACATTCTATCAATAATCTATTTTGTACCAGAGAAAATGTTTTTTTATTGAAGAATTGGTTTGTGAATAAAATACATTAAAATATATTTTCAATATGCCTCCATGGTGCAATTGGTATCACGTCTGACTTTAGATTGAAGGTGGATCAGGGGCGGCTTCTCAATAAGTGCGCTCGTGCGCGCGCACTGCCTCCAAAAACCAAGCAAGAAAATAAAATTAAAATTTTGGAAAGAAAAGAAACTTCATTTAAAAAATACCTACCCAATTTTCTAAGTTAGGATAAATATCTACTCATTTTTCTATTTTTGAATTCGCACGAACGGAACGAAAGCGCGCCCTGCGCCTGTCTTGTATATTTTTTTCTCCCGCTTGGTTGTGCTGGTGGTCCGGGTGGTCGGTGTGGAATCGTTCGGCGCTCTGGGTAAATGTGTTTTCTCGCTGTGCGATTGATCGGGTATATACGGTAAGTCGCCCGATGAAAGGGATGCGCCGTGCGCTATTTGAATACACACTTCCAATGTTGTTTCCACTCAATCGAGAATATTTCGATGTTTTTTCACCATTTTGGCGGTTTGACAACTCTGTTGTTCGCGGTTTTTTTTTTAATTATAAATTTCAGTATCAATTATGTATTATGGCTAGAATACAAACATTCAAGCCTCATTTAAATACATATATTTTTGTTTTCGATAATTTTTCCTAAAGTAAAAAGAAAAAAAATCAACATACAAAATAAATGTAAAACAGGACGTGGCACCTCCAAAAAATTTTCCAAGAGCGCACAACCACACTAGGTTGCCACTGGCCGCCACTGAGGTGGATAATCTTTAGAATTTTCACATGTTTTCTAATGTATTTTACTGCTGATCAGACTAAAATAAGAAACAGAAAAAAAAAATTAAAGATCTTTAGGTCACCACTTTGTAGGTATGAATCAAGCGCAAGCATCACTCAACGATTGCCGTCAACGGAAAAAGTGAGGATCTCATTCGCCAAACACATTGATGATGATTATCCAATCCAGTTTCGCTTCATGAATCGAGACTATATGAAATTGAAGATGTTGTCAATAGTCTAGTAAGTCTAGTCTAGTATTTTCTCCAGACTTTTGGCAATTATCTCTACATATTCAATTCCATATAGTCTATCTATGAAGTGAAACTCGATTGGATAATCATCAATGTGCTTGGTGAATGAGATCCCCACTTTTTCAATTGAATGACAATCGTTGAGTGATGTTTGAATTCGTACATACAGATTGAACTAAAAACTTTTTTTCATTTTTTTGACCATGGTGTGATTCGAACACACAACCTTCTGATTTGGAGTCAGACGCGCTACCCTTTACGCCACAAAGTCCTATATTTTATTGTTGCTAATTCAAACAGATATAGTTAACATGGTTATGAACAGTTAAATGCGATTTAAATGTCTGTATTTCCCTCTTCCTCTATCTAATTGTTTCATTATCTTGTTAATTCATTTATTTTTGATTAAAATTTATTTGAACTTAACTTACATAACCATCAACTAGATTTAGTTTCCTCTGAAGGCAACTGTTTTTCAAGAGAAAAAATATGATGAATTGCAAAACGTGATAATTTTATTTTGGGAAAGCTTTCCATAAATTTTTGTTAACGAAGCAGAAGTTCACTTTTGCTAATATTCTACAATTATTATCATATAATGATACATTGTAACGATTTCCTATTATTATTGCAGCAAAATAACTTCACTACAATGTATAATTTCTGCACAAGTCTACCATTTTTTCTGTATAAATTTAGGAATCGCATATAAATGTATAATTTCTGCACAAGTCAATTATTTTTTGTGTATAAATTTGAGATTTGAATGCTTTATTTTATTGTTGGTTTACGAGAAAAACCCCAATTGTTTTGATTTTGTGAAGAAAAAAAAGTAGTGTCTGATTAAAATTAAACATTGGAAAAAACAGCAGTTTTTCAACACAATCTTGCAGTCCACAAGCAAGTAAGCATCCATCAATTTCATCACCAACTATTATCATCCCTTTTTTTCATTTTACTGTATAAGTTTTTCCACAACAGCAGCAAAAATTATTACTGTTGCTGAATGATGTAAATTGAATTGATAGGATATTTGTATAAATTGAGCCGTTTTGTAGAGAATTAATTTAGTGTAGCTCGCAGCAACATCAACAAGACAAAAAAAAAAAAATAAAAAAAAATAAGTAGAAAGCACAATTCACAGTACAAATTGTTGAAATGAATGCACCGTGAACATTTTTACCACTACTTTTTGATTCTCCACGATCAACTTGTCAAACCAAACCCATCAACCAGTACAGTACCTACTTGTAATTTAATTGATTGACCAACAAATGACGTTTTGAATACTAGGTAATTTTTTTTTGCCTATTAATATTTATCTATTTTTTTTTACAATGTTTTCAACTGTTTTTAGCCCTAAAAAAGCCTTCAACCATTAAAAAGGCGGATCATCGACAAGTATTCAATCGGCTTTATTTGTCCTTACCCAACTACTCATTTCCTAGTAATTTAAAAATGTTTATCTTGGACGTTCAGGGGTTTCAATATAAAGATTCCGATTTCATTTGTAAGGAAAGTTCTATTTTTATTCAGACAACTGGCCAAATTTTTCATAAGTTTATCAATTTGCCTATAAATTCCAAATGGTGACGAGAACACTTTAGACAACAAGTACGTTGGCATACTCAGAACTTACACGGTTTAGCATTCTAAACTAATCAAACCTATTCCATTGAATAGGTTTGATTTCAGTTTTCTACCTTTCGAGAATATAACAAGTTTTATACAATTATTAAAAATGAAATTGTATTTGTGAAGGGTCATAGTAAAAAAGTATGGTTGGGTAATTAAATAAATAATACTATTGTAGATATTGATTGCTTAGGATGCCCAAATTTTAATAAAATTGAAAAATAATATTCCCAATTTTCATTGTGATATGCAAGTTATATTGTAGGACCCTATGTTATCTTTATACTAATAATTCTCCTTTCCTATGATAATTATAAGCGTACGCCTATGTAAATACTAATAAATATATAAAACTGCTTAATCAGCGGTACTGCACTGGTAGTATCATTATCTGCCGACGTAAATAATTGCGTCGATATTTCTTATTTAAGCCGGCGCATTCCCTTAAGGAGCGTTCATTTGTTATCAGGCACTCCTGTAGCAATTTGATCCACATATTTTTCGTTTGTGATTATTGTATTTTAATTAATAAAATAAATGTTTTTTAGAAATACAAGTGCTATAGAGTCCAGAGATTGAATTTTCGAAAAAGTTTAATCCAATTCGTTCCACTTTTTGAAAAAATTTACTGAAAAAAAGAAGCAACAAGATCCAACGTACAAAGTTAAAGTGTTACAGTTACTAAGCATCGTGCCTTGTAAGTAATCCCTTTTTCCTATAAATTGTATTTTGTAATTGGTGTTTCATAATTAAGTTATTTTGAAAAATGTCTTTTTTTTTGAGTTTTTTTTCATAAAAAAATTTTTCAATTTCAATTTGTTTTGGCATTGAGACCAAAATACAAATAAAATAATTTTAAGAAAGTAACCTACGAGACTGAATAGTAAATTTAAGACTTCAATTTTTGATTTTTTTTAAGAAAAAATAAAATTTCCAATTTTTAATTTTTAAACTTCAAAAAACTGAATAATTAATTAGAAACTTCAATTTCTAAATGTTTTAGAGACAAAAATTCCAATTTTTTCATATTTTATTTTCAATTTTCAAGAAACTGATTGATATTAGTGCGCGTTCATATTGACATCGCTCGAGCGGTGAGCGTTGCGCGATGCCGCTGTAGTGATGCCCAAAAATAATTTTAACATTATATCTCAAATGAACATGGTCACACTGAAGCGGCGCGTCCCGCGGTGTTAACATGTTCACTCGAAATATAATGTTAAAATTATTTTTGGGCATCGCTACAGCGGCATCGCGCAACGCTCACCGCTCGAGCGGTGCCAATGTGAACGCGCACTTAGACTAGAAAATTTTTCAAGAAAAAAAAATAAAATTTCCAATTTTTTTAATTTTTATTTTCAAGAAACTGAATAATAAATTAAAACCTTCAATTTTTTGTTTTTTTTTGAGAAAAAAATAAAATTTCAAATTTTTTTATTTTTCAAACTTTAACTTTCAAATAACTGAATAATTGATTTAGAGGCTTCAATTTTGAATTTCTAAAGAAAAAAATGTATAGAATTTCATTTTTAATTTTGAATCTTTAAAGAAAAAAATTAAATTTCTGATTGTTTTGATATTTAATTTTGAGCGAAACATAAAATTTCTAATTTAGAATTTCTTGATTTTTTTTTTTTAGTTTTAATTTTAAGAAAGTAAACTTTTAGATTAAATAATTTTGAAAGTAGAATTTAATTTAAAAAAGAAATAATTAACGACTAAATAAATACGTAATTTAAAAGAAAAATATAATATATAATATAGGTATAATATAATAATAAAATTTTGAAATTGATAACTGAATACTTAGTTCATTTTAAATTTTGAATTTAGGAAAAATCGAGG